TCAATAACTGTTTTATGTAAAAAGAAAACATCAAATATGGTGGCACCAAGCATTTGGGGAAAATAAGGAGCATATTCATATGGTTAGACTTTTTCTTCTACAATATCTGGTAGCTCAGTCTTAGATGAGAGAATGAGTTTTATACAGACTTTCTTATGTAAAAGCATGCATGTTCAAAACTTGCCAAAAAGCTTATTTTTATTTCCAATCTGTGCTATTTATGGCTTGCTGTGGACTGACAGTCTGACTAGTTCCAATGAAAATCAAGAGATTGATTAATTCGTCTTCTATGGCGTATCAACCCTTTGCAGGTTCTTTAAAGTCAGAAAATATTTTAAGATTTTTTTTTTGAGATAATAATGATTTAGTGATACAAGTCTTATTAATTAACCTATAGATGGAAGGATGAATTCACACCTTTCTTCAGGGATATTTTCACATAAGTGAATATAACAAACTCAACTGGAATTGGAACTTGGCTCTCCAATTAACAATTCCAAGCCATTATCCATTACACTACCATTATCCATTACACTACCAGCACATCCAAACTTACAGCACCTGGTATTTCCAAGCAGCCACCCATCTAGATACTGACTAGGTTTAACATTGCTTAACTTCAGTTGAAAATCAAGAGAAAATAGGATGAAAGAAATATTAGCCAAAAATATAATTATTGGTTTACAATAATTCATTTAGTATTGAAAAAATGCAAGAGTATTACTATTGCTTGAAAATGAGTATAGGATATTTAAACATTGCCATATTTTGAAAAGGCTCTTGATATCATTCTTGTTACTTTAAATTACATTTTTCATCCTTTGAATCTCAGAAATTAAATACCAAATAACTATAAAGCCTTATTTCAAAGTTAACAGTAAAAATGTCTTAAATAAATTGTATATGGACCAAAAGAACAATGACAAAAAATAAAACTAATTTAAACTCAAATTTTAACATCTTGGCTTTAATTTTTTTAACTTTCCTTTTTCATGCAACTAATATTTGTTTTAAATCAGTAAATCATAGAATGTTTAATACAAAAAAAAAAACAAGATCATTGTATTTGATGGGATATAAGTTGATTGATTTGTTTTTTACAGCTTATCAAACATTTGTGGGTTATTTAAAGCTGAAACATATTTTGGGATTATAATTCATTCTTTTTTGTAAGTGAATTAACAATTTTTTTGAGAATAACAATGATTTTTTCCCAATATAAGTCCCACTAATTAATCCATAGCTGGGGGAAGAGAAGGATTCATACCTTTTCCCAGGGTATTTACACAAGTGAATGTAACAAACCCAACTGTAAAATCAAACCCAGTTCTGATTCCTCATTTCAAACTGCTATTACACTAGCTTCACATCCATTGAAATATAAGACCCCTTTCCCCACTGAACATACCTAGGTCTATAATAAATACATAAAAAAATAAGTTGTTTCAAACTCATCTAAATAGGAAACATAGATGAAATTCCAGCAAGATTTAATGCATCTAGATTTTTTTATATTCTTTGCTGAAATGGTTGTTGTGTGTAATGCATCTAGATTTTTTTATATTCTTTGCTGAAATGGTTGTTGTGTGTAATGCATCTAGATTTTTTTATATTCTTTGCTGAAATGGTTGTTGTGTGTAGTGGTGGGGTATACTCACTATATTATAAAATCAAGTAATTTGACATTCAGCTAAATAAAAATCAATACTTTTCCCTCCTCTGTGAAGGCTGACTTTAAAGCAAAACAAAAAATTAAAGAATGCCTATATGAAATATGTTCTTACACTATTTTTTCTAAGTGGATTAAATAATTATTAAAATATTACTAAAAAAAAAAGTTCCCCAACTACTAATGAATATTACAAGGCTAAATGTCTGAATAATAAGGCAGTCTGGGTTCTGTAGACATGTTTGGTAATCAGTTTAGGAGAAGGACAATTCTGCTTTTAAAACTCAGCCACCTGAAGCTGTACCAAAATGTTTAGACATGAGCTGTAGGTAGCATGTCTGTAAAAGCAAAAACACAAAAGATTTCATCAACTATGGATAATCCCATAAGAGCACAATATTAAATAGTATGCTGTTGACACCGATGGGAATTGGGCCCAATGAAATTCATGAAATGAGATGAAAATATTTACAGCAGCCAAGATCATTCAAAAAAAAGTTGTGGGAGAGGGTTGCATTAATGAATTTTTTTTTATTTTTTTTTACTTATGATGTATTCTTTATCAGTGAAGAAAATTTGGTATTGTTTTCCTTACTATTTACTATACAAAAATAGAGCATTCCTATGAAACTTTTTGTTTGATGTACTTGTGTGTATTTTAGTATCCTCTGCTTTTTGAAAGTTTGATTTTTTTATGCCATTTCACTTTTATAAAAGCCCTACATGTGCTCACATTTTACTTCCTATCTAAATTTGTGTAAAGCAAAAAACAATTATCATTAATTTATATAGAAAAAATTTTGAGCATTCCCAAACTGCAAAATACCATTGCATGAGATTTTCACTTTTGACAAGGCATAGAAGTTTAAGCAGGTTTACAGGATGATGGAAAAAATGCCTGAAGCTAGGCAGTCAAGCATATTATCATATTTTAAGCTTTCTACATTAGTCACTGCTGACAACAAACCTCAATATTGAGGCACGGAAGTTATTCCTAGGTTTTGTGAATGATAAAAATTCTCCCTACATAAATTGGTAATTGTTTCTTTGTTTTATGTCATTTCAACTTATGAAAGGTTTAATAGAAATGCTTTGCTTTCAGATAATAGGAAAAGCCTATATAAGATGGAATATGTGAAAACCAGTTGGATGTTTAAAATTATATTCTGTTGTCAATGTTTTGTTCAGTAAGAACATCATTAGAACAACTGAAAAAAAAATCTAAGGAAAAAATTGTTACAATGGTAACTTTTCTACACAGAAATGCTGTGGTGAATTTGAAAATTTAACACTTTAAAAAACTGAAAATAAATATCTGTGAACAAACCAATGAAATTTTTACATAGGAAAATGTTTGCTATTATAGTATGATATCTTCTGTCCATTTTCTACTGTGGTATATTTACCAACTGTTGGAAGTATAAAATATGTTAGGGTTAAGATTAGGGGTTAAAGGCAATGAACAGTGAACTGTTTATGTTAACAGTTTTTTTATACAAAAAATCATGAAATAGTGATTGTAATGTTTGTAAACTAATTTGACGTCATTTTAAAAAATCAGTAAAGAGGTCATTGTTTTTCTTGAACCTTTTCCAGCAATAATGAGTGCATCATCATTTACAGTAGGTTGCAAATGCCTTGGTAGATATTATACTATAGTAGCACCAGAAAATGTTCAAATATAAGATATAATGATTTAATGTAAGAAAATAAAAGATAGTTATTCTAAGAAAAATAACTCATATAAACCAGTGATTCTAGGATGCCATGGAAAGGATTTTTTTTGTTCTGCTGTTCTAACTGAATGAAGATTGACAGACTAAAATTTGAAACATTCAACTAGTTTTCACATATTCCACCTAACACCACTTTGTTCGGATATTTCATACCAGGCATTTTTCAATATATATATATATATATATATATAACATTATATTAACATACTGAACATTATCCTTTTATGCCAAGAATTAAGTATGCTGTTGTAATGAATCAGCCACTCTAATAAAGACCTCTGTCCTGTAATGTATTTCTGAAGATAAATTTCCATTTTAAAACTCAAGACAGACACTTTATGTTGCATGTTTGTTTTCACAAAATTTCAGTCATTGAAGTGTTGTATGACACTTTTTTAACATCTAGTTTTTTCTTTTATCATACACTTTTAAAATTAGAAACATTTTCATTTCCTTTTGGTAACATAGTGTGAAAAAAATCTTTATTAGAAAATAAATGCTTCTAACCAATGTGCACTATCCAATGTAATAAATGAGTTATCAATAATATATATGCATGTTAGACGACAAAACGCATTCGTAAAAAAATGTTTTCCTTTTGTCTTTATTCATATTATCTTTTTACAAATATATTTTATTCATATATATATATATATATATATATATATAATGAGTTATTATATAGATTAACTAGATAAAGTTAATTACAGATTGGTCAATCACTTCAGGATTCTAGCAATTGATTCAATATAATCACTCCATTCCATGTCAGTCGAAAATGTGATACCAAAAGTTGCAAAGTGCTGCTCTCCTGGAGGTTAGCATCAACCATGATGATGGAAGGCAAAAATGTTTCTCTATGATGATTAAAAGAATGCAGTCTCATTTTGGAGGTGTTAAAATTTACAAGTCATTTCTTACCCCAGTTAACATTGGAAGTTATTTTTGAGAGCAGATGCTAGTTTTATTTTGTCAGGACTATCAGATATATTATTAAATAAGGAAAAAAAGGAAAACAGTTTTAAATTTAATGTTTGGCTTTCATTTGAGCTTCATGAAGCTAAATTGAAGGCAAAATATTAAATTTATAAATGTTTTCCTATTTGTTCCTTATTTAATTATTCTGCCAGATTTAATCCATATTTTCTAAATTCATATATTTTGTTGTTACAAGACTGATATTTGCATAAGACTTCTTTTTTTCTTATTTAGTGAAACCAAAAACCTATGGCTTGCATCTTAAGAATATGAAAGATATATAAAAAAAAGTTGATATAAACTAAAGAGACAAAAACAAATGGTGAATACGAGACAATTTGGAAAAACTATTATGTTGACATGATTTGTCAAACAGCATCATCAGAAAAAGTTTCAACTAATTCTTAATAAAAGTTTTTTTTCAAAATTGTCATTTATTTACCATTCCATTGAATTCTCATCCAAAAATAAATCTCAAAAAGAAATGTGTCTAACTGAAATATGAAAATTAAAAGCAAGAAAGGACAATAAGGTGAGGTGGAAACAAAAATTTAAAAAAAAAAATTATTCTTGTCTCAAAACAATTTTTATGTAATACAAAAAAAAAAAAATTGAGTTCATTTTCTTTTCCTGACACTTGGTCTATCAAACATTTGTTTCATGCCACCACCTTTTGTCATATGGAATTTGAGATTCTGAGCAGAGTCTGTAAGCCACGGTGAATCAAACTGTGTCGTATCTTGGTCAACCAAGTGTGTGTATTTGGTTCGGCCTGAGCGGCCAAAGTTCTTAACCTGCATGACCTTTGGAAGAATGGTCTTATCAAAATGATCTTCCAGAGTTGGTGCTGAAAAGTCTCTTTTGTACACAGTGTCATCCTCGTCCATAAAGAAGGAACCTCTGTGATAATACTTTTGAAGAAACTTGTATCTTCCTTTCGGGGCTTTGTTGGGAATAACTTTGGGATTAGCACGAAGATCTGCTCTCCTTTCTTCATCTGTCATTGTTCTCAGCCGATCCACTTCACCCTTTTCTTTCTCCAATGCTTCTCTTTCTTCTCTATCACGTTTCATTCGTTTCAATTCACGTACTTTCCAGGCTTCGTATTCTTCTTCATCATTCTCGTCCCCTGTGTCAACAGCATTGCAAGGATCATCTTCTTTCTTTTCTTCATTTTCTTTCCTTGCTTCTGTTTCAATGATTTTTAAAGTTTGTCGGCGCCGTTCTTCTGTCATTCTCTTTGTCTCCATCTCTTGGTCACGCACTTTTTGATCTTCCCTTTCTTTCTCTTGGATTGTGATTCGATCTTTTTTGCGCACAAAAACGGGTTTCAACCTGGGCCCAGTTTCTTCTTCAGAGTCTGTGTACTCTTCATATTCTGAGGATTCTTCTTCGCTTTCTCCTTCTGATCGCTCATCCTCAACATCCATCACCTCCTCTTCTTGCTCTTCTTTTCTCTGTAAAGCACGCTGTCTCAGAATCTCTCGACGCCGTTCGATCTCTTCTTCATCCAATTCCTCCTCTTCACTACTCTCTTCTTCTTCTCGACGATGCCTGTTGTCTGTTTCATCTTCTGAGGCTTCCATCAACACTTCAGGTTCAATTACTTCGCGACGATGTCGCGTAACACGATCTTCCACGTCGCTACCCTCATCATCGTCTACTGCCCGTTCTTTCAATCGTCTCAGACGTGGATCTTCGTAATGAGTTTCGACAGGGGTTACTTTTGGTACATCATGTGCGGTTTTCTTCGGACCAAAATTAAAATCAACTTCTTCCTCCTCCTCATCGCTACTTGTGTCCGGAGCATAATCAGGTCTTTTACCAGTGACATAGCGATTCACTTTAACCTTTTGCATAGTAATGTCTCCCTTCTCATTTTTTATGGGGACTGCACCCGCTGTCGATTGAATCGGGATCGTATTATTAGGCCGTCCACTCATTTTTAGCGCTTATTTCTTTGCGAAACAAAATGGATAAGAAAAGTGAAAACAGAGTCCGACTGTGTTTTGTTATTCGTACTCGTCACTACGACCGGCCCGAAATAAACAAGAAGATAGTAAAATAAATTTCCCAGTAGTCCGAAAGAATGGAGTATTCTGAAGATATTAAAAGTACTTACAAATTAAAACAGTAACATAAAAAATACCGTGACTTTAACGCCAACACAGTAATAGGCAAATACAAAGTACTTCTCAGAATAGAGAGGTATACTTCCGGTTAAAGAATACTAAAGCAGAGTGATCTCCCTTGTTTCTTTATTCCACAAAGCAGAGTTTCTCAGCCGGTGCACCCTGGCTCACTATCGTACCCTGAAAAATAGCCAACTGCACCCCAAGTTAACAGAAGACTAATAGTAATTTATGAATTATTTTTATATTAAAAAAAAAAAATCATTATCTTTAAAAAGCTAGAGATACCAAATACATGTAATATCTTAAAAATAAAGACTTTATTATTTTCCTATTTTAAAATTTCATGGCAAATTTTTCCTTAAAATTTAAAGTACACCCTAGAATTTTAGTTATTCTACAAGTGCGCCCCGAAGTAAAAAAAAAAAAAAAAAGGTTGAGAAATACTGCTATAAAGTATTTAATCTCAGATTTACTATTATGTAGTTAAATGTGCCACTGTTTAATTATAATATTAAAATGGCGATTAAAATTTATTTTCATAGAGATTCTTAAAAAGAAACCAAAAAAACTGCATAAAGATAATTTCTATACAAGACAATGAATGTGTTCGAAACTCTGAACAACCTTGTGAATTAAAAATGAGTGTTTTGATAATTCATAGACACAGATATTATAATCTAGTTTTCTCATTTAATTTGTTTATCTCATCTTGAGAGGTTACTAAATTGAATATATTTACTTGCTTTCCATAATGAATGTCAATTGGACCAAATGATATTTTATTTTTTTAATTTAACAATGACACTACAACTCAAAATTTTATTTAATATTTGATTTTAGCTACAAAAGAAAGTATAGATTTTATGATGAAATAAATAATATAGGACAATTTATCATGTAGCACATAATAATTAATATGGTTCATTAATTTAATTGTATTTGACATGGACAATTATTTTGTCTGAATTTTTGGGATGAAGAGTTATCCTTATTTAATTTACACTATTCATATTCAAATTATTGTCCTTATAATTGTTTTTATCAAATTTCAAGAGCAATGTGATAACACAGTTCATTGTAGAAATATTGAATGTTTTCATGTAAGTAATTTTACTTCCAATGATATTCTTATATTAACAAAAAGAATATTGTTCTGATAAAGGCCGAGGAGTACAATGGCTGAAACATTGTGATAACAGTAACAAAGATGAGGACAATAGTCTGAATGTAAATAGTGTAAGTAATGGACAATTATCTTGTAAACATATTGACTGATTTCCAAGTAGATATAGCACTATCTAGATAAAAAAGAGGCCTTCTTGTTTCAGGCCAAATGCAGTTGTCTCAAAATTCATCTAATAATAAATTGGATATATTATCATTTTAAAATATTTCTTTAGAAGATTTTAATTAGGTGAAAAATACCTTCTGAAATGGTTTATATTCTTTTCTATAATAAGTAACAAATTTAATCCTAGAACACTAACCATCAATTAAAGTTACACCACTACTAACCATGGGTATATCATACCCGATTTTGAAAATATCAAAAAAAAAATATTAAATATAAATCTTTATTTGAAATATTTTACATGCAGGCACTTCAAACTTTGTACTTTGAGTTAACATTAATAGGAACTGAAAAACATTATTTAGGTAAGAAAATCAGGTACCGAAAATTGTAATTAAAAATAGGAAAATTTGTGCTTGGTACTATATACCCATGGTTAGTGTTCTAAGGTTAAAAAAAATTAGAATTATCCAAAAAACGTTAATCAATAGAATATTTTATTTTAAGAAAACCCATAAATTTGGAGAGGCATTCTTCTAAAGAAGTGTTGAGGGTTTGCACCAATTTTCAAAGGAAAATAAAAATTGCTCATGAATAAGGTTTTATTGGGAGACGATAAGTGTAAACTTTAGAGAATCACAAACAAATGTATCGGTGTGACTAAGATTTCTGAAGTGTAACAACTTTTTATCAAGTTATTTCTCTGTCGGAATTTGCACAACTTATTTCCCCAAAAGATGAACATGGATGGAAATTCTAGATGCTGCTTAGAAGTATTTTTAGATGGACAATGTGTTAAAACAATTCATTGTAGAAATATTGGACATGTTCATGTAAGTAATTTTACTTATGATGATATTCATATATTAACCAAAAGAATATCCTATGTATTCTAAAAGGAAAGCAGTATATGTTATCATCATGAAAAAGTCTAACTTTCTCAGTATGAGCCTTTACAAAAGTATTATTTTGATTCAAATATCAACTTGGTATCTTCTTAGAATTCAAAGTTATGAAATGCCAAAGTTAAAAATCATGCTATCTTTAAATCAGCAAAAACTGACAACAAATTTCAAGAGGCAATAACTCCTGAAGTAAGAGTTTAAGGAAGCTAAAATTTTTAGGGTTTTGGGTTTTAAAGGAAAGAAATGCTATTTCCAATAGAATAACATACCCACATACATACTATATTAAAACATGCCCAAACTTTATTTTCTACCCAATAACAGACAATATTGATAAACATGCCAAAAAGATTCCACAATACAACTCACACCATTTAAATCAAAGTAACTTGGTTAGAAATTAACATCACCATGTGAAATATTTGATCAATCTGAGAAAACTAAAACCCTATTTTTCTCAAGCATACTTTTGGGAAAAATTTCTGATAAAAACACACAGATTTTGGCTTTCAGGGAGTAGAGATGTGACTGACTCCAAGCCAAAGAGAAGATGTGGTTCTCCCCAGCATTTGCTAAAAAACATATGTCAGCGACCTCAGGTGAATCATTTCCAACAACAGCATTGCTGACCAGTTAATAATTTCAAATAAATCATTAACAATAACAAAGATGGTTAGTGAATCTTTGCTAAATATAAAAGTTTTTACAAAAGCACAGCTTTGTCTTTAAACCAGTTACCCAAAGATCTGAACTCAACTAAAGCCTATTTTTACTCCTTTTCGACTCTTTTGAATTTATGTACATATGTTTGTAAATACAAATTACTAATTTAACAGGTGTACCCATGTTTTCTTTAGTTTTATTTTATTATTGTTTGGAATTCAGACATTCAAATTTTTAATATAACAAAAACCTGAACAACTGAATTTCCTACAGTTTAGGTGAGTACAACATACTAAAATTTAATCAAAATCTGATATGGTGCCGATGGGGCCATTGGGTGAGTTGATATAGAATTTACAATATACACACACAACATACGAGTGTGTGTGTGTGTGTGTGTGTGTGTGTGTCAAAATTCAGATATAAATAAAATATATCTGTAAAAAGACAATATGAATAAAGACAAAAGGTAAACTTTTTTACCATTTCCTTTCATCCTCTCCATTCAAAGCAAATGTAAAGATTTTATTTTGCAACATGTATTTATAAAAAAACATTATGTAGAGGACAAATCGCATTAAATTTTTTAAATTTTAAATTTAAGAACTCTCCAAAATATTCTTAAAGTTGTGCATGTAAAACTATGGAGAGCGCTAAATGATGAAATTTAAAGCCTAATAAATGAAAGTGAGTAAATATTATTATTGTTGTTGATGAATTTTTATTTTCTTATTTGTTTATATATATTTATTGATTTTTTAATGTAATTATAATTTATTATTTTATTTTAATTTGATAAATTATTTATGTATTTATTCATTTTAAATAATAGATCTTTTAATTTTCTAACATTTTTATAGTCATGTATGTTGGCTTGTTAAAGAAGTATTTCCTTTAAGAAAGGAGATATTTTAAAAAATCCAATGTGTAAGTTAACATTTTGGCAAGAAACAATAGTGGCACTGTCAAGAATTTTCTGTGTAAGTAAGTTATTTTCTCTTAATAAATGTAGCATTTTTTTAGATCAAAGTTGTGGTTGAAGTTATTTCTGTGTATAGCTAATGCATTGGCTAAATCATTATATAGGAGATATATGAAATTGTGTTCATAAATAATGACCAAAACTGTCCATAAAAAATAATTCTGAAGCAGATATTTATAAAACAATATGCCATAACTGTTCCTCAAAACATATTGGGGAAACTTGCAGAAATTTACAAAAAAATGGATTTACTACAGGATTTTATTTTCTGTTAAATCATTGGCAACAACAGAGCAGTATTTTAGGCACCCCAAGGTTAATATTTAGGGTGATGACAAATTATTAATTTTGTGCTTGCTAACTGAATTTGGAACAGTTCTTTTTAGTTTCCAAAAATACTAAGAATGAATGAGAAGACAAAGTTGTATATAAGTTATATAATAATGGTAAACTTTTATATATCAAATAAATCAATGTACACAGAAATTATACATTATACATTTACAAAATGTATAAAAAGTTTCTTGAGAAATGTTGTTCAGTATTTGCAGTTTTAAGTTTGGCTTTAGGTTAGTTAAAAGGGCTCTGTATGTATGTGAAAGAGAGAGTATATACTGATAAGAAAAAGGAGGTTGGTTCATGGACATGAGTTCAGAAAGAGAAGAAGGAAGATAGTCAATTAGTGGCATCTGCAGCTGATTGTTTTGTGTGTAATAGTTAGTGGGGTTTTTGAAGTTGCTGCAGTACAAAGACATTTCTTTTGATGTGAGTGAATTTTTATTACTGACTTTTTCAAGTTGTCAGCTTGCTTTTTTTTTGTTTGTGTATTAACTATTGGATCCTAAGCTTAGGGGTTTTGAAAACTGAATAAGACCATTTAATC